ACCGACGGCTATTCGCGGGAAACCACAAACTTCTGAGAAATGCAGGACAGGAAAGCGTAACTGAAGCCAAGCACGGAAGAGTAGCGCATGTACTCTGGGCCATAGAGGAAGCTCGTGGGCATGGTCTGCGCATGGGCAGCACGTGAGAGTGCCCGCATGGGAACGGCGAGGAGGGCAAAGGCGAGGCAGGAGGTGGTGGTGGGGGGGGGGGTTATAGGGAGGTTTGGGCACACGGGGTCGCCTGTGCCAGGCTGTTGTGGCACGTCTTCATCGGTGCCCTGCGGTACGGGGCCTGCTCTGCAGTGCACGGGCACACCGCACGCCAGATCTCTGAATTATTGAACACCTCCCTCGGTGTGGGATGTCACTCAAGCCCCGCGTTCAAGGGGCGCAAAAAAAAGACGCACATAGAAGGAATCTAAAAATCTCTCTGCATTGCAGTAGGAGTATTGGGGAAAACACAGAGCAGAGGGGCTTGGGCCTGGCATCTCTGTACACTCTGAGATATGTCTATGAACCTGAATATTTGTGAATTTTTACACTGCAGTCAATGTTATCACAAAAGCAACATAACAGTGGCCTGACATGAAGTATATTTAGAAAGGTTCATGAGATGTTTTTGAAGCAGGAGGTATACTTTCTTGCAAAGAAGCGGGAAATATACTTGCTAATGTACTTTCTTGGAAATACACCCAATACACTTTGACATTTAGCACATAATGATAGTTATTTCTTGGAGAGTTTGTGTTTATGTAGTCACTATATAATGAAATAAGATCATTTATATAAACAGAAATGCCATTGAAATCATGCATTTCAAGGAAGGAATATGTTGTTCTTGTTCTTACTGGCCAACGGGAATTTTTTTTCTCAGGCACGTGTCCCAGAAATTCCCGGGGTGTTGATGTGTTTCTTTCCTCACCTGCTGTGTACCTCTCTCCAAACCCCTTCTTCGGGGGAGTGCTTAGCTGGACATCCGGGAACTGCTTCTTTATCTGGGCACAAACACGTTGGAGGAAAAGGAATGTCAATATGGCTGGACACTGCAATAAAAACATGGGGCCCTACTGATGATAACAAACGCAATACGAGGGATCAAAGCAGCAAACTGGCGATAACCATAGAAACAGAAGCCTGCAGAAAAAGGGTATGGAATTCTACCAGATAAAAAAAAAACTCTCAAAACCGCTGGAATGCACCAGATATGGATCTTTAATATTGAATAACTGAATAATCTGCTGAATCATCTCTCAGATTTATGGCTGCTGCAGTTATATCACATGTGTCAGATGGATATGAAGGCCATTGTGAAAAGCACCCTGTCCGTATATTCCTGATTTACTGTGCTGTGTTTCGGGAGACACTGAAATGGATTACTGTCATAAAATACAGCACAGTCCCAGCCGGGCAATATGGGTAAAATCTGATGTTGCATGTGGGAAGACACACTGCCCTCGGAGCTGACCCCAGGACATGGAAATGAGGGACGGCTCAGCTCTCAGGAACTCAAGTCGAGCTGCCGATTTTGTCACAGAGCGCACTGTAAATAGAATGTGTGTGTACGTTAGATATATCCGCTGTCTGAAAGCAGAAGTGGTCAGATCTGCGCCACGCGGCCTTTCGTTTTAGGGTAGTGGCGCAACCCTCTGGGGTGGGGGCTGTTAAGCCCCTTTTCCATCATGTGACCACGCAGCTCAGTAAATTCCGTGCCCTCCCACGCAGCACCCGGGTGCTCAACGAGACTTTCACTGCGCTGTCCGGTCCCTCTGACTCACAGAGCATGAGGCAGTTGCCAAAGCAACCAGAAAAAAGTTGTAGCAACAACACCGTGTTTGCCCAGATGGTGGTTGCTAAAGAAAAAAAAAAAAAGAAATGAAGATTTTCATCAATAATATTGTGCCATGACTAAACCGCAATGTGCACAGACCATAATGCGAGCTTGTGTGCCGTCATTACTTGGAGCTCGGCTGAGGCTCTGTGTCTGGCTTGAGTCAGAATCTGCCACTCGGAAGACGTGTGCCAGGAAACAATCAGACTGCATTAGAAGATTCCTGTAAGGGTCCACAGTGTTGAGAGCTCTAACCATAAGAGTGCATGGAAAAGACTGTCCCATTCAAAAACAAACCAGAGGGACTGAACAGTGATTACCCGTTGCTGCACATATTCATATATGGAATGAAAAACGTCCATTGACATATAAAATCAAGGCTGGATCAAAGATAAGAAAACATCACTTATAAATGTACAGATCATGATAGGCGTAATCTTTCAAAACATATTTCCGATTTCCAAATAATAAGTACGAAATAGCTGAGGAAGGGAAGTGGGGTAGTAAATTTTTCTCACTTTTGATGAGGAAGTTGTGAAGAATATGCAAATTGAAGAAAGTCAGACCCATCGCTGCGTGAGACTGAAACTTGCCTGTCATCTGCATCATCAGCCGCTGTGCCCACACAAGCCTTCTAAGGCGTTAGCATGTTCACTTCGAAAAAGGAAGTGTCTGTAGTGATAACACCAAGAACAGTGATGACGTAGACATCTATTCTGAGGGTGTCAAATTTCAAAGAGAAATTCAAAGATAATTTTCAGGCCTGTTGATTGCAAAACTGATGATAAAAATGATTAAGATTTTGAACACATTACACAATCCTCAAGACACAAGATCCAAGGTTTAATTTTTTTTGTCAATTTATCTTTTTTTGTCAAAAAGACACGCTCAGGCACAAATTTGCCTTTCACATGGAGACCCAATACAAGAAATATATGTTCAATATCCCAGAATTCCTCAGTGATGTGGTAATTGGACACTGGAATTAACTTCTTGGAGTGGAATCCACTCGACATTCTGTGAGCAAACCAGGATAATCAAGAGCTTCCTACACATCTAGGCATCCCGCACAGTAACTCACCATTTTGAACAGACAGAGGAAGTCCTTGTAGCACCTGATCACATTCCAGGACTTCCTCCCATTGCGGATGAAGACTCTGTATTTCTGGGAAAGAGGACGGAGGGACAGAGAAATGGGACACGTTGGCACACCATAAACCTTAACCAAACCTTCTGACCGCTCATCACACAGGAAACAGAGAGCCAGCTCCTGATACAGTTCAAAGTGCACATTATAGCCTTACTGGAGTATTACAGGAACAATAAAACTAAATATCAATATAACTAAAAAAAGTTGCAACATATTTCTAAATTAGGTCACATAAACATAGCTTTAACAGAACATTTGGTAGATATTAATTTTAATGCAATAAGGGGCATTGCTGATGGTGAGTGCATAGGGGTATGGATCTTTGGCTTGGAGTTGAAGGAAGGGGTCGCATCTTGCCCCCCAACAATTTGGCATGTCATACATGGGAATAAATATAAGTAGGAGATGGGGTGGAGGAGGGATGTCGTGAACAGCTGACATAAGAAGAAAGTGGTGAGTGAGTTTTATCTACCTGAGGATGGGATTTGTTTGATAATTGTATGGAGACTGTCTAAAAATGATCCCTAATCTTCATTTGGAACTTCAATATGTGACTAAACAATTCATAAAATTATTTCTAGCCTGTGTTATCAGAACATATTCTCGGCAATAATATACAGACAGTATCAAAACAATCAGATACATCATCATGATGGACCCTGTACTCTGAGTCGTGATGCTGACATCAGCACTTTTAATTGCCACTTTACCAGCAAAACAGCCAGCAATACAGCTTGGTAAAGCCAGCGAACAGCAAGAGATGCATAACAAGCACCAGCAACACATCTGCAGCATGCTAAACAAAGCCGTAACTCCTTGTTTACAGTCCTTTTGGGCCTGTGTCTGTCAGTTTTTATTTCCACTCGACAGGAAGTCCCCTTCCAGCTGTGCAAAATCTGTGTGAAAACCAGACAAAGCCAGTTAAAAAGGTCCAAATAGGACTGGCTTTAAACTCATCCAATCCTATCCTCAATGAGCTCTCACACCAATTTCAGCAGTACACTAGATGTGTATAGCAAGGAAACAAAGCTAGTTCATTGGCATGCAGTGCAAATTTGTGGTCAAAAGATCTTTCACACCAGCAATAAACGTGTTGAAAACTCAATGCGGTTCCGATTTATATACAACCTTGCATTACCCATTTAAATTTATTACATCAATTTTATTTGATACCTTTATTTATTTGCTCTGTGTGTAATTTGCACTGTGCACTGCATTCACATTGTAAATGTTGTTGATGGTGTGTCTGCCTGTGTGAAATATTCGCCACGTACGTGACTGTTTGGATGATCAGTGTGCAGGGCATGTCCCTGTCCCAGCAGGCAGTGTTTAGACAGCTGCGCGGGTCCTGTCAGCAGATGATCTGCATCCCCAGGGCCCCCAGGGGCACGACAGCAATCGCATCAGATGAAGGAGAATGACATTCATTCATTCATGGGGGAAGTTGGGGGCTGAGTCTCCCTCCGCAGCCTTCGCTCTCCTTCTCCTTTGAGGAACGGTTGTCAGAAGAGACCGGTCCCCGTGTTTCTGCGTTCTAATCTTGGCTTAATTCATCGCATCATTCCTCTCCGATGACGCTCAAGTCTGACACAGGCGTGGGACCCTATGCCGAAGGGACCGAGTCTGGGGGGGTTGAGACCTGCCTCCGCCCTCATGTCACCCTTCTCCCTTAATGACCTCCTCCTTCAGAGGAGGGTGAGGCATGAAAAGTTCCTCCGCCAGCTGCATCAGCATTTGTGCCTTCAAACAACAAAATCTGCGACATTTGTGCCTACCTGGAACATAAAAATGTAGGTGTGTGGCTTTCTGTAATGTATTGTTTCTGACTTGTGGACCAGGAATATGGAGCGGACTCCTCAAACTGAATCATCAACATGAATATGTAGCACTGTAAAACAGCATTACATTATGTTGCAATATTGGCATTTAGTACATAGGGTACAATTTTTACATGTTATCCATTTATACAGCTGGATATTTACCAAGGCAAGTCTGGGTCAAGTACCTTGGCCATGTGTACAGCAGCAGTACCCGAGTGGGACATCGAACCAGCAACCTTTTGGTTATAAGCCAGACTCCTGACCACTATGCTACACTGCTGTATTGTAATATGCAGCACCTGACATGGCTGCTTTACATTCTGAGCTTTTGGGAAAGAGCATAAAACTCATGGCCCTCCTGCTGTTAATAACTGTTGAAGCCCAGAAGTGCTTGTGTCATATTTTCTGGAGGAGGATTAACAAAACTCATCATCTTGTCCATTCCATCATTATCCTTAGACCTTTGAGAGGAGATGTACTGCACCTTTCTGCAATTTTCAAAATAGGCTACTTTTTGCATGTCAAGAGTGCTACAGGTTTTGCAGATTAATTTTTTTGGGTTGACAGATGACAGGTGAAACGCAGCCTGTCTACGAGGGCCCCTAATCCTCCAAAGTCCACTAAGCCTTCCCCCTGTCTCAACAGATCTCTCTCTCTGATTGTCCAAATGACATTTCTCTGACGCCTCGTGGTCTTAACCTCATGGGCTCACCGCTGAATGAAATATCCCAGATTTGACTTCTTCCAATAATCCCAGCGGCATATGCCCAAGGTAATCCGGCTTCTCTGCCCCTACCTGATGGCTTCCTGAAAGCAGAACAGGAGTGTGCAGTGCAGGACAATGTGACTGTTATCATTGCATTCACAAAAGCAAAGAGGCCTCATTCAGGGTTCAGACATAGGCTGCTGTTATGTTGGTAACATTACTACACCATTATGAAAACGTTAATTTAACATTGCGTGTCTGCTTAGAGGGCCCCCTCACAGTGACCCAACGGCCTGTATTTCAGAAGGACAAACAGACAGACAGACTCTGCTGTTCCCTACAGAGGAGGGCCGAAAGTAGGTTGGGACGTTAGAGGGATGGACGTTAGAGACGAGGTCCTGCCGAAATCAGGCCGGATCTGGGACAGGGTGTCCCCAGGAGGGACGGGTGTGACGTGGCTGTTGGAGGTGACGCCATCTGTGACACCTTTGCCCGCCCCCCTTGAGTCCCGGTATCGAACGGTGACAGCGATAGAGGCAGATCATGCATGCTATTCCCAGCAGCCGTATTTACATCCCCACACGCAAAAAAGGCACACATAAATGAATAAAGTGCGTGTTTACTTAAGCACACACACACACACACACACACACACACACACACACACACACACACACACACGCAAACTCTTGCTCTCACCCACTCTTGCATGCAAACTCCCAGAGCCATTCTCATCCTCCTGTCTGTAAACACAGAGGGGGAAAAACAGCGCAAAGGCTTTGGGTAAGCTATGTTTGGCTGGATGGAGAAGCGGAGCGAGACAGCTGGGTGCACTCCTACCATGCACTATAATAACCCGCGGCAAAAATTCCTCCAACCCAAACACCAAGCCACGACTCTGTTTGGTGTTCCTCTCGGGCGGGTGGGGGCTTTGCAGGAGAGGCCCACGCCAGGTTTTGTGGACATATCCACAAATGGCACAGACGACGGTCAGAGGCCTCAATGTTTAAAGTGGACGCAGTCATCCGTCTCTGTTCGTTTGGAGCGCAGCTCTGATCCTGTTACACAACTCGGAGAACGCTCTAATGGATAGGACTGGCTGAACTATGCTGGGAGGTTAGGCAAGGAGCTCGAGGGGGCTTAAGCCTGGCAGCGCAGGGCTTGTGTAAGTCCCCAGCTCACACAGTTGAAGTTCCTGTTAATGTGTATTGTTACCTTACCAGTCAAAAGTTTGGACATACTTTTCTTTATTTATTTTTACTAGTTTCCAAATTTTAGAATAATATTAAAGACATCAAAACTATGACATAACACAAATGGAATTATGCAGTGACCAAAAAAATGTTATAAACAAATCAAAACTATCTCATATTTTAGATTCAAAATAGCCAAAAAATATTTCTTTAACATCAAAACATTTTTTTGGAAAGAAATATATATCATATATCCGCATGAGCTTCACTATTTATATTTGTTTAAGAAACACATTTCAAGCATTCAAGCATAAGTCTTTAGATCAAACTGTCTTTGGACATATGTTTTCCATTGTCTTAATCAGGTGTGTGTCCAAACTTTTGACTGGTACTGTACATCATGATCTGTGAGGATAATCGTGGTTCATACGGTTGTCGCAAGTCACACAGGTGCAGACATTTCAAATTAAGAATGGAAGAAAAGCTATTTTCCCTGTTATCTGTCACAAACTGATTTACCCAAGGCAGAGCTTGATGAAGTTCCGTTCCAAGATCAAGCCACAGAGGCCTCATTGTCCAGCGCCCACATATCTACATGACTGCATGCCTTTAAAAAAATTTGCTGGCTCATAATTGTACTGCCTCTGGACATTTCATACATGTGGAAGAACATGCATGCAGCAGCTGCTGGTGTGTGCAGAGCATGCTGTATTCTCCACACCACAAGACTACTTATGTAACAATACCCAGAGACGGGCCCATCAGCCCTGTTCCTGAAGAAATAAATGTTTTAAAAGCCAACCATTCCAGTAGATGAAAAAAGATAAAATGACATAAGCGCTAGACTGAGGTTTCTTCCCCACTGGGTGCAGCCCAATTAAAGCTTAAACAGGGATGAGAGGTGCGCTGAGGTAACTAGCCCTGCATCAGGATGACATGGAGGAATCAGAAAAGCAGGATGAGGTCATGGCCTTGCCTAACTCTGACTCACAAGGAGAGGCCAGGAGACCCAAGATGTGCTCAGATGTCTTTGTTGGGCTCTCGAAATCACACAGAATTAACAATCTACTGATGTCACTTGCCAAAAGAATTAGGATAAAGACTACACGAGATTCCCTGGCACATTTGCACCCGTACTCCAATTTAGAATCTAGTAATCATGTTCCGTGCTCTCCGCTGCTGAAATCCTGTCATAAACTGTTCTGAGTCTTGTCATAATACAGAGAGATTGGATTGGTTTAAATGTTCCTGGGTTAGTATTCGGTGACACCGTTTGCCCTGATCAGTGTTCTGTGTTAGACTTATCCATTTGTGTGTTTGGTGCTTTTGGCCAAATGCTTATATCCCCGGGTTAAATTGTCAAACACTTACTGAAATTTGCAAGAGAACCTCAGTTTGTTTTCAGTGCATAATTGGCCACAGACAAAGTATTGCTCATATTTCTGCGAGCGACTCCTTGTGTGTTTTCCTCCTCTCGTGAAGGATCAGCTGCAATGACGATGTGGCACAGCTTTCCCGGACGGATCACCCAGGCATGGGAACAATAGGATTCTGCGCTGCGGCCAAACGGTGGAGTTGAGAGGGCCTGTTGACCCAGGTGCAAGGCCAGCACATCTGCTTCCAAAACGCAGGAACTAATAATAGCCTCCCTTCTCACGAAACAACACAGGAATAGTTTTATGTAACACGCTGAGAGAGGGGGGAAAAAAAAGAACTTTGACCACGTCCCAGAAGCGTCCCAGCAGTGCATGAGGAAAGCATTTTTTCCATTCTCGTGATCAAGCTTATTTTAAAAAAAGAAGTGAGGATATAATGTAGTCCAGCCTCGGCTTTTTATTTATATCTCATTTTCCCACGTGTCTGAGTTGAGGGTAAATCAAAGCCACCTCTGATGAGACGTGCTTTGCAGATCGTAAATGAGGCATGCATTAGTACTGCAATATGTGAATCAGCTGTGGCATCCTCTCGTCGCTCAATTCAACACAGAGCCACTCAGTCCAAAACCTGAACTCATTCTGTTTTATTCGCATGGTGGGACGCTATTGAAGCAAAGGGGTGTTTTATGTGGTCCGTAAGATCCAAGAGAGTCTCGTCCCATAGCAATTCTCTCTAGAGCAAGGACAGCAGGCTGAATGTGTGTTACACCCTTCATATTGCTTTTCAGTCAGACTTTGATGTATGGTAGTGTGCGGGCTTGGCTTCCCTTAGTTTATAGGCTGTCTAGTCAGGTTAGCACCAGTTAACGTGTGATAGGGCTTGAATGGTGTTATGCTCACGCTCACTGGTCTGGGAGTGTTGCTAGCCTGGTCTGACACTGTTGCTCGTTCAGCTTGGATGGATACACTTCTGTTCTTTTCTGCTGGATAAGAGCATCTGCTCAATGAATGTAATGTGATATAATGTAATGAATATGCTCCCTTCCCTGTTCAGATAAACATTGTAATTAAGCCTCCGAGTCATGCAAAAACCACAGTCCTCCCAGGTGATCTTGTAAATGTCTACAGTATTGTATTTACCTTTTGCAGGAGTTTTGTATGGTGAGAGGAACTAAGAGGATACAGTATAAAGTGGGCAGCAGTGTTGTACAGTGGAGGGGAGCAAAGCGTGTAAAGGTTGTGGGTTCAATTCCCCGCTGGGGCACTGCTGTTGTACCCTTGGACAAGGTACTTAACTCACAACTGCCTCAGTAAATGTCCAGCTGTATAAATGGATAACATGTAAGAATTGTAACCTATTCAAATCGCTCTGGACAGCAGCACCTGCTAAATGACGGTAATGAAGTGCAATGCAATGCAAAGTAAAGGATGAAGAGGGGCTGGGGATGAGGAGGACAGCGGGCACTCACGCTGAGGAGCTTGTGGTCTGGCAGGCGGTAGTTTTCGTACAGGGAGGGGGAGCACCAGCTGGCGTGTGTCACTGTCACCTGCAGGGTCCCAGGTACGCACTCCCGCCTGCCCCCGGGACATTGGGTCACCTGTCCCACACCACACCTGAGTCCCGACACCTCACTGGCCTCTTTCACACCTGCCATCTGACAGAGGGAGAGAGGGAGAAAGAGGGAGAGATACAGAGAGAGACACAGAGAGAGAAAGTGAGTTTTGTATCTGCATTGTTTTGTTCTCATCTCGCCACATTAATCATCTAGCGCTTTAATTCACAGTAACCACACCAGTGTTTTCACCCAGTGTGCGGCTGACTGACTGAATTAATCAACCACATTTTCTCCCATGTATCATCAATTGCTACCATTTATTTCACAGAGAATCATAAGATATTAAAACCTCATGGAAATCTTAAGATGTGTCATTTACTGCAATAACTGCAAAATACTGCAAAAACCACGGCAAAGCCAATTTCATTTTATGTCCAGTGACATATAGG